CCTATCTCGATAGAGAGCGTACTACGGTAACGATAGCGTCCTATAAAATTTAGCTTAAGGAGTAGTACGATTAGGTAGGTAGTAAAGTAGTAGAGTCGGAGAGGGGTTACTTTAGTACCGCGTTTAACGTATAGGTCGACGACGGCGGCGAGATCGATTATAGTAGGGTCGTATTCGAGATAATAAGAGTCGACTACTAGAACGTATATTATATTATACTTATCGTAAGCTTATACGATCTTATATTTCCCTTCGACTATATATACCTTCCTATCGGTTTAGATCTAATCTACCGCCCTAACGATCGGAATAATCCCGTATATACCTATATAAGGGACTTTATTAATTAGTAATTCGATAGGGGTTATATAGAGGACGTCGACGAGAGGGTATATTTATACGATAATACTTACGACTTCTAGTAGCTACGGAACTAGCATATATTTCTATGTTCGCTAGAAGCCGTCGCTATAACCTATAAGGGGCCGTAAGTTTTCTCTCTTAACTTATATCCTTATCTTCCTCTTCCTATTTCGATAACGACGAGGTTAGCGTTTAGGGTTCTCCTATCCCGTCCCGGTTATAGATCTCTATAGTTTTTACCTTAGCGAATTCGTGTGTTAACTTTCGTCGGGTCTACGGTAGTATCGAGGGTACTCTTATCGGCCTATTTACATACGATTACCTATATAAACTTATATCCTACTATACCTCGGGCTTTACTTATTATCTTACTACTACTAAATCTTAATATTCGATTATACTATTACTACTATTATCCCTCGGGCTAGATACTAGTAACGTTACTACTACTATACCTTAATCCTTACTTTCGACCTTACTACTACCGATAATCGGGTATTATTACGAGCCTTACTTATAAGCTTACGTATAGGCTTACCTATATACTTATATATAGTATTATATATAACCTTACTTCTAACCTTACTTCTAAGCTTACTTATAAGTAAGCTTAGAAGCTTCCTTATAGTATCGGCTCTAGGCTCTACCTCTATAACCT